TGCCTCTGCTATTTTCTTTATATTGTAAATGGAGACTGCATTGACGATATCAAAGTTGATTCCACAAAGGTGAATGTACCTTAGAAGTTGTGTGATTTCCTAGTAAGGCTATAGAATAAATGATTTAATAAGATGGTAAGGAAAACTCATTAAGTTTTCTCTCTGGAGGATTATTTTCCTTCTGATATAATTCACACCTTTATGTCGATTGTCCTAATCAGCTATTTATTTGGTTTCATCTTTGACGACGTGATCAAATTAACAATTTTGGGATCGAAAAAATAAATTGATTAAAATTCTTCATTAAAAGAGACAGTCGACATAAAAGATAATGAGCAGAAAATAAAAATAAAATATCAAAAACTTATTTTTTTTCTGTATGACATTTTTAGAAACTATTCAATTTGTATCACAATACTGATGCAGACTTCAGAGATTACACTTAAATATATGTCACCCCGAAGTTCGGGCTCTCCGTCGGTATATCTACATGTATCATTCTCGCTCCGTTGTGTTTTTTTTTTTTTTTTTTTTTTTTTTTTTTTTTTTGGTTTTTGTTTTTTGTTTTAAATAGTTTTGTTTGTTTTTTCTTACCAAAAGTATCTATTAACGTTTTGCTTGTTGGCATCCATCACTGTCTATCTTTAAGGGTTACTTCCCGTTTGTATTAAAAGTCGTGTGGCGCTACGCAACTTTAAGCATATCCGATCCTCAGCCAGGATTGATTGATTTTATGTTGTTTTACGTCCCATTCGAGAATTTTTTCACTCATATAGAGACGTCACCATATACCGGTGAAGGGCTTCAAATTTTGACCTTTACTCGGCACTTAGGCAAATTGAGCAGAGAGGGATCTTGATCGTGCCAACGCCTGCCGTGATAATTAACTTTAAATAATTAATTAAAGTTAATTAAAATAATTAATTTTTTTTATTATACAAAAATCTTCTTTCCAAAACTCATATTTTAAAATCTGTACTATGAGATCAGAAAAATTGCATTTTCATTTTTAGCTCTACTTGAGCTTATGCTTAAGTAAGGTAAGGTGTTCATCGTCCCTCCGTCTAGCTGTCCTTCTGTCTGTAAACAATTTTTCAAAATGTTTCTCCTCTTACACTTTTGGTCTGACTTCAGTATAACTTGGCACACAAATAAGATATACTAAGATACATAATTAAGTGTATCGATTTTTGATTTGGATTAATGGTGTTCCCATGGTTACTAAAAATAGAAATTTCTGTAAAATTCCTTTAAAACGCTACTCCTCCTACAGTTTTGTTTTGATTTTAATTTAATTTTCCATACAAGTAGACTACACTAAGATACATAATTCAGTGCATCGGTTTTTTGATATGGATGAACGTTGTTGCCGTGGTTACTAAAAATAGAAATTTTTGTGAAATTCATTTAAAACGCTACTCCTCCTACAGTTTTGATCTGATTTCAATATAAATTGGCACACAAGTAGACAACAATAAGATACGTAATTCAGTGCATCGGTCTTTTATTTTTATAAATGGTGGTGCCATGGTTGCTAAAAATTGAAAATTCTGTGAAATACTTTCAAAATGCTACTCCTTTTACAGTTTGGTCTGATTTCAGTATAACTTGGCACAAAAATAGACTACACTAGGACACATAATTCAGTAATTAATTTTCCTGAATGATGTTGCCATGGTTACTAAGAATAGAACTTTCTGTAAAATTCCTTTAAAATGCTACTCCTCTTAAAGTTTTTCTGATTTCAGCACAAAAGTAGACTTATAACGATACATAATTTCTTTCATCAGTTTTTGATTTTGGTGAACGTTGTTACCATGGTTACCAAAAATAAAAAGTTCTGAAAAATACTTTCACAACCCTAACCCTCCTTCAGTTTTGGTCTGATTTCGATATAACTTAGACACGAGGAGATTTTAAAGTCAGATAAGTAATTCTATATATATCGGTTTTCGATTTTGAATTAAAAATGGAACTCGTAAATATACCTACCTTGCCATTGGTCAATTGCAAAATTATTTTGTTGAAAAAGCATTCTTATTGTACATACAAGTATTCTGAGGTTGATATTCAAAGGATGCCTGAGTTTCAAATTGTCCATATCAATGTAGTTTTTGAAGATCAAGTCTTTCAACAATCTGTTGGAAACCCCATGGGTACCTTTTGCGCCCCTTGTTAGCAGACCTATTTTTGTATTCATATGAAGCAGAATTTATTCAAACACTTCTATATGGGAAGAAGAAAACACTTGCTTGGCCTTCAACTCGACATTCAGATATATCGACGACGTATTATCATTAAAAAAAATTAGCTACTTCCATTCATATGTCGACTCGATATATTCCAGTGAGCTTGAAATAAAAGATGCCAGAGATTCTGACACATCTTTTCATATTTGGATATTTTACTAGAAAAAGACTTTAATGGTAACCTAGTAACAAAACTTACAAGGTTTTATTTAAGTAAAACGTGACGACTTTTTTTATCAACGTGATGACTTTAATTTTTAAATCGTCAACTTCCCTTACTTATCACCTGCATTTGGGGTTTTATCTCCCAGTTGATTCGATACACAAAAGCATGCTCTACATATGAACCATTTCCATTTTGAGGCAAGCTAATGACAAACAAGTTGATGAAACAAGGATATCAACAGTTTCGTTTGAAGTCATCATTTCGCAAGTTTTATGGTCAATATAATGACCTTGTCAGCAAATACAACCTATCATTAGGTAAAATGCTGACTGATGTTTTTCACCCTAATTTTTAGGCCATTATTTAGACACTGAATTGTCTACGGATTTTCCCGTTTTTCTCAATCATGACAAGGAGCACATGGAGGGTGTGACCGATCGGCAAGGGATGCTCACTCCTCCATGGCACCTGATCCCACTTCTGATGTTTTAAAGGTCCGTGTTTGCTCTGCTCCATATTTGTATTGTCTAAGTGGACTTTGAGCTTGAATACTGTTCGTAATCTCCATGTTTCATGGTGTTGGCATGGTTACTAAAAATAGAAATTTCTGTGAAATACTTTAAAAATGCTACTTCTCCTATAGTTTTAGTCTGATTTTAATATAACTAAACTTTGCACACATTTAGATTAGATTTAGGTGCATAATTCTGTTTACCGGTTTTTGATTTAATTGAATGTTTTTGCCATGTTATTAACAATAGAAATTTTGGTGAAATTCTATCTAAAGGCTACTCCTCCAACAGTTTTAGTCTGATAGCAATAAGTATTGACACAAAGAGGCTAAAAGAAGGACTATTATTCTATTTATCGCTGTTGCATAGTATTAAGTGCTACTTTTCTCTTCCTAAATGTTATAAGTACAAACCAATAGAGTTACGGTCTCATCACAGACTTCTAGTTTTCACTGATAAATGACTATTATCGATGTAATAGAAATTTTCATATTTACGTACTGTTCATTTGTTGTTCGTGGCAATGAAGCGTGATCCAAACATTACCAAATATTCAGTGCACTAATGCAAAAGCAAAATTAACGGGGCATTTGTCGTAGTTTCCTTCATTTGTCAGCATTCTCTTCAAGTGCATACAGCTACCTCAAGGACAGCGAAAGATTTTTGAGCTCATTGGTTATATCGCTGCCCAATCATCTCTGCCAACAAACTTTTGTGTCAATGAAAATTGAATTGATATTTAACCAATTAGTAAAGGGCATTCCGCTTTCTATTGTCATGCATAAATGATCAGCTTGCTAATCTAATGCTAGGCATGCTACTTATGCTGACCCTGTACTTATTTAATTAGACTCGTGCTTCTAGGGGTACATTTTAGCATTCATCAGAAGGAAATTCATAAAATTTCAGCACAGGATAGACGTATTCAATTTCCCTTTTCTGTTCAGATATAAAATCACTACAGGCATGAGCAAATTTAATTATTCTGATGTAGCAGTCCTTGTCACATGCAAAAAATGATTGCAGTTGTTTATGTTGATTATTTGATGGCATGTTGATGCATATACTCTAGCAATTCTAAATAACTGATCCTTGTACCATAAATAGCTAATATTTAGTGTAATAATCAAATGTCACGTGAAAAATACACGTGGGTATGATAAATGTCTAGACGAGTTATTGACAGCTTGGTCAGAAATCCTAATATCATCATTATGTAAGCACAATAAGAACAAAACAAAACCATCAAGAATATATCAAAATGTAGCTCAAAAAGTACTATCTTTTTTTTAGGAACAAATGTTATGTGATAATTTTACAGGTATATATTTTTATTTACCATGATCACTAAGGTCAAAGAGTTTGTTCATTGCTGTTCAAGTTATTTTTTAAAAAATTACTGTATTTGAAGAGGGGTTTTTTTGGTACAGTAAAGGAAAATCTTTATTTTTTGATTTTCTTTCTTTTTTTTTTTTTTTTTTTTTTTGTTAATGTGTAAAAATCAACCTTTTATCGAAAAAGAAACTTGATTTCTACGTAGAAATGGCAAACCTACTAGTATGATAAAAAGCATGTAGAAAAGAAAACCATTTTTAAAATAAAATCTGCATAATTAATCGTGTGTGGGAGATAAAATAAAGTAACTTCGATAGCCAGTGTCCTTTTTTCAAGTTAATGGAAATACGTAAATTGTAACTAAATTGCTAAAGAATCATCATTTTAAGTATGGTTACTTTTCTATAATTTGGTTGTGTACATGTTTAGTTTGTCATATACTATGAAGTAATTCAATACACATTTATCTAGTAGATGTGTGTTGGTACAAACCTTGGTTCACAACCAAGTAAGGGATCATTTGACAGTGTATTGGTCTTCATTATTATATACGTAAATAAATAACATGAAACCTATCTATAAAAATGCATATGCAAAATGGCAAAAATAACAAATGTATAATGAAATATTAGTACTACCCAAAAATTAACACATGGATAATGGCGTCTAAGTTCAGTAATTTAGTATTTGTTTATTACATTTGTAATTTGAACAATTTTCTCAAAGTGCCACAGTCCTTTACATCTTCTGGTCGAACAAATACTCTCCCAGACCCTTTCCTGCTCTCTTAAGCTGGCGGATCTTATCAGCTATGTCTTTGATAGCATTTACTTGTTCCTCCAAGAAGTCGTGCTCCAGGACATGGGACAACTGAAAAGGAAAAACACTGTACTTGTATCATCCTACACTGTACTTGTATCATCCTACACTGTACTTATATCATCCTACAATGTACTTGTATCATCCTACACTGTACTTGTGTCATCCTACACTGGACTTGTATCATCCTACACTGTACTTGTGTCATCCTACACTGGACTTGTATCATCCTACACTGGACTTGTATCATCCTACACTGGACTTGTATCATCCTACACTGGACTTGTATCATCCTACACTATACTTGTATCATCCTACACTGTACTTTTATCATCCTACACTGTACTTGTATCATCCTACACTGTACTAATGTATCATCCTCGCTTTTACGGCAATTTTTCTCTGGGTAGGGATAGAAAGGTTATTTTTCATTGTTACTTTAATTAAACGTTATTGTTGTGCTAGTTATATTACCATATGTTTATGTCAATATTTGTTTTTAAAGATTTTCCTGTTGTAGGCGTTCAATATTTGAGCGCATCTTGAAAACCACTAATTCATCACGTTTTGCGGCTTTTACGTAAATTGAAGTGCAATACACTTCACCACAGACATATAGAAACACCTTTATAATGGAAATAAACTCTGATGGGGATGTCAACTTCTCTAAAGTCATGGATTATGGGCTAATTATCATTTTTCATTTACTATAAAGACATAGACTGTGTACACAAATGAAGATATATACCTTTAAGTGTTATGTATGTATAATAATTATTATTAGATTTTCAACAGTAAGATACTAAAATTTATTAATGGAATAAAAATTGATACTTTTCAGAATGTGATTTTTTTTCACACTATGAAAAAATATCAGATGTGCGGCAAAACTCGAGGTTTTCCTTCCTTCAAGACGAGTGTTATTAAAATACCCCTTAGCCTGTTGAAAGATAGCGATAGAAAATAAACATTCTGGCATAGACTAAATCTGCCAAAGTTTCTCCAAATTGTTGTTAAATCCTACAATTTTCAATAAAATGCAATTGCTCAATCTCCTATGCAGAGTTGTCGTTCGTTCCTCTCCCAGACACGTATGAGCCGATGGTAGAGAGTGGCAATTGCTTAGTTATGATGTATGTTTATCCACCGCACAAGCATGACGTCAAAGCTTACGACACTGCGCTACGAATATAACAAAGGTAAATGGAAAATCAAAGAAAATGTAATAAACAGAAAACTCAATGTTTTGTAGTTGAATGCACTTCGCACGAGTTCGTGAAAATACATGGCCGTAGGAACCGGGGGGGGGGGGGGGGGGGGGGGGCGTGCCCCCAATAATTTTGCCGATATATAGAATACTATAGAAAACATAGCTACTATATACTTGTGCCCCCTCAATAATAACGTCTGATGACCTTTTTTTTTCTTTTTTTCTTTTTTCTTTTTTTTTTTTTTTGCTTTTCAAGGAATTTTTGGTAGTTGATAGTGGCCCCCACTGTAAATCTGAAAATGTATGGGTGTGCCCCCCCCCCCCCCCGAAACTGAAATTAAGTTAATTAAGAAATTAACCGAAACTTCGCGAAGTCAATAAGTTTGACGTTGTTGACGTTAACGTCAAATTCTTACCTTTGGGTCCTTATATGATATTACACTTTTCCCGATGTGAGAATTGCCTAAATATACTATAGACAATAACTACATAAGACAATGAGGGATTTAAATACTTTTTACTTTAAAATCATTTATAATGTTATGCTCAGAACATAGACGAAAATATCAATAAAGTATATGCCTTTATTCCGTAAATAATGTTCTTTTTGTAATTAAAATTTAGGACATTATATGACACAGGAGTGATTGAAGAGGGAGGTGGACTCTTGGCATAGAACCAGTATAATGAAGTCATTTCAAATGTGCGTTAACATATTTTGGAGAAATGCATAAACGGAATAAACCAAATTATGATTGGAGGTGAAGTCTGTGTAGTAAGTATCGATATCTAAATATCTTTAAATCAATATAAATGAAATTCTTCAACTTCTCTTCCGTAAATTTCTATATCCCCCCCCCCATATGGTATAATGCAGTCATTTTCAAATGTGTGTTAACTTGTATGCTTCGAAACTTTTATGCTTTATTCCGTTTATTCCTTATGGCGACATATTATGTATATATACTCCTCTTATTTGATTCGCGAATCAAATGAGTTCCGGGCTTTACTTTCGTCGCTATTTACTCCTGTTATTTGATTCGCTTTTCATTAAAACATGCATTTTTAAGAATGATCCCCCCCCAAAAAAAAAAAACCAAGCCTCTTTTTTATAGCTCTCCCTCAAAGAAAACCCTTTTCTCGGGGAAATCTTCCCCTTCTTGTACCTTTTAGAATGATATCCGTCTCTCTATATATACGCCTGTTATTTGATTCGCGAATCAAATGAGTTCCGGGCTTTACTTGCGTCGCTATTTACTCCTGTTATTTGATTCGCTTTTCATCAAAACGTGCATTTTTAAGAATGACCCCCCCCCCAAAAAAAAAAACCAAGCCTCTTTTTTATAGCTCTCCCTCAAAGAAAACCCTTTTCCCGGGGAAATCTTCCCCTTCTTGTACCTTTTAGAAATATCCGTCTCTCTATATATACGCCTGTTATTTGATTCGCGAATCAAATGAGTTCCGGGCTTTACTTGCGTCGCTATTTACTCCTGTTATTTGATTCGCTTTTCATCAAAACGTGCATTTTTAAGAATGACCCCCCCCCCCCAAAAAACCAAGCCTCTTTTTTATAGCTCTCCCTCAAAGAAAACCCTTTTCCCGGGGAAATCTTCCCCTTCTTGTACCTTTTAGAATGATATCCGTCTCTCTATATATACGCCTGTTATCTGATTTGCGAATCAAATGAGTTCCGGGCTTTAATGCGTCGCTATTTACTCCTGTTATTTGATTCGCTTTTCATTAAAACATGCATTTTTAAGAATGATCCCCCCCCCCAAAAAAAACAAAGCCTCTTTTTTATAGCTCTCCCTCAAAGAAAACCCTTTTCTCGGGGAAATCTTCCCCTTCTTGTACCTTTTAGAATGATATCCGTCTCTCTATATATACGCCTGTTATTTGATTCGCGAATCAAATGAGTTCCGGGCTTTACTTGCGTCGCTATTTACTCCTGTTATTTGATTCGCTTTTCATCAAAACGTGCATTTTTAAGAATGACCCCCCCCCCCAAAAAAAAAAAACAAGCCTCTTTTTTATAGCTCTCCCTCAAAGAAAACCCTTTTCCCGGGGAAATCTTCCCCTTCTTGTACCTTTTAGAATGATATCCGTCTCTCTATATATACGCCTGTTATTTGATTCGCGAATCAAATGAGTTCCGGGCTTTACTTGCGTCGCTATTTACTCCTGTTATTTGATTCGCTTTTCATCAAAACGTGCATTTTTAAGAATGACCCCCCCCCCAAAAAAAAAAAACCAAGCCTCTTTTTTATAGCTCTCCCTCAAAGAAAACCCTTTTCCCGGGGAAATCTTCCCCTTCTTGTACCTTTTAGAATGATATCCGTCTCTCTATATATACGCCTGTTATCTGATTTGCGAATCAAATGAGTTCCGGGCTTTAATGCGTCGCTTTTTACTCCTGTTATTTGATTCGCTTTTCATTAAAACGTGCATTTTTTAAGAATGACCCCCCCCCCCAAAAAAAAAACAAGACCCCTTTTTTTAATAGCTCTCCCCCAAAGAAAACCCTTTTCCCGGGGAAATCTTTCCCTTCTTGTACCTTTTAGAATGATATCCGTCTCTCTATATATACGCCTGTTATTTGATTCGCTTACAGTGAAATACATACTCTTTAGTACCCCCGTCTCTCTCTATATACTCCTGTTATTTGATTCGCGAATCAAATGAGTTCCGGGCTTTACATGCGTCGCTATTTACTCCTGTTATTTGATTCGCTTTTCATTAAAACATGCATTTTTAAGAATGACCCCCCCCCCCAAAAAAAAAAAACAACCAAGCCCCATTTTTATTATATCTCTCCCCCAAAGAAAACCCTTTTCCCGGGGAAATCTTTCCCTTCTTGTACCTTTTAGAATGATATACGTCGATCTCTCAAAATACTCCTGTTTTTGATTCGCTTACAGTGAAATACATACTCTTTAGTACCCCCGTCTCTCTATATATACTCCTGTTATTTGATTCGCGAATCAAATGAGTTCCGGGCTTTACATGCGTCGCTATTTACTCCTGTTATTTGATTCGCTTTTCATTAAAACATGCATTTTTAAGAATGACCCCCCCCCCAAAAAAAAAAAACAACCAAGCCCCATTTTTATTATATCTCTCCCCCAAAGAAAACCCTTTTCCCGGGGAAATCTTCCCCTTCTTGTACCTTTTGGAATGATATACGTCGATCTCTCAAAATACTCCTGTTTTTGATTCGCTTACAGTGAAATACATACTCTTTAGTACCCCCGTCTCTCTATATATACTCCTCCTGTTATTTGATTCGCGAATCAAATGAGTTCCGGGCTTTAATTGCTTTTGGGATATAAATAACAACAGTGTAAAATCACGCGAACCCTAGCGGCGATTTTTGCAGAGTCAAAATAATGAAAATAGGGTTGATTTGATGTTTGAAAATAAAATGCACCTACATAGTTAACAAATACTCTCAAATTATTTCAAAGACATTTTGTCGATGGACACAAAGCTTAATTCCTGATATTTGCCGTTATCGATATTTCTTGCTTCATGAATATTCATCAAATTACGCCTACCTACAACTAACTCGTATACAGTACTTTGATTACTCCCGTTATGTGATTCGCTTCATGGTGAAATACAAAGGCTTTAAATATATATACTCCTGTTATTTGATTCGCTTCAATGGGTAAAATAGTTGTAAACAATTTGAACATTACGGACCCAGCATTGTAACTGTTGTAAGCGATATGAAAATCTGAGAATGTTGGGAGTATAAAAATGACCTGGGATGAATTTGACGTTAACGTCAACAACGTCAAACTTATTGACTTTGCGAAGTCAATAACAGGATAATGCCGAAATTGCTTCCTACGGGCCTGAAATATAACAGGTAGTGACTTTTCCTTCGTCACCTGAGGTGAAAGTCATGAGTATTTCTGATGAGACTTCAGTTACAAACCGATACATTTTCTTTGATTTTCCCTTTGCCTTCTTATCACGGTAGATGTTGGCTCGATAAAGATCCCTCACTGCTACAACTGTGAAAAAAAATCTGGGAATGAGACGTTAAACAATATACAATTAATCAATCAAATTCCATTTATCACCATTTTGAATAGGTGATATTAACTACTTGATAGGTGATATCATCTATTCATTTTGAATTGGTGATGTCACTGTTATGAATGAATGATATCACCTATTTGCATGAAATAATGAATGTTCCCTTCTTCAAGACAATCTATAGCTTTAATGAAAAGTAGAGGATGAAATTTCATAAGGTTTTCAAAGAACTATTTTATTCTATTAGTTTTGTTTTAAACATGATGAAATTGATTCTGTCACTCTTAAACAAACTTCTTTGAAAAAATTTAAAAGATTCTCTGTTGATGAACTGAACTTGAGTCACATCCTCTACTATTTCGGCATTGCATAGATCAAATAAACTGGAAAATTGCTGCAAGATCGCCCTTTTGGCATAAAGAAGGGGGAAGGGTTCGTTTGTTATATGTATACAACGTGGGTCCATAGTACATCCCAAGTTTACAAATGAATAAACAGATTTCAATTTATCCTAAACAACACTACATGTTATCGATCCCTAATCGTCTCAAGCCACAGTCCGGAGTCCGCATATAGCTCTCTCCTCTCCAGAATGGGAGAGGATCGTACATTTTGGCCATGGTTTGCGACGATGTCGATCCCTATGAAGTACTAATTATTTTTCTTGCGGTCGGGTTTGCTATATTTATGTGTATGTTTTCTCTGTTATTATTGCTTATGTACAAAGAGACTGAAATGCTTACTTCCTGTATAGAGTAAATGTATGGAGTACATGTACAGTCTTGGGAGCAGTTGTTATTTCATACATTGTTTGAATAGGTGATATAACCTATTCGAATGTGATACCACCTATTCAAAATGAACAGATGATATCACGTATTCGAAATGGTGATATCACCAATTCAAAATCGATATCATTTATTAGCAATTAATACCAAAACGGCGCCTCATAGTAAAACAATACTTCGAATTGGGTTTTGTTCGCAGATTTCCCCCCTATATTCTACAATTCAAATGATCTGCTAATATATTCAACAAGTTATTTTATCCCGATACCTTTTATGCTTTTCGGTTAAAAAAAAATTGAGTTAGTGGTATGTACAATTAGTATTGTCCTTGGATTTACAAGGTGTCCATTATTGAATTGTTCAGCGTAGATCGATAAAGTAGATGTACATGTAGCTAACCTGTGTTTGCTGAATGACCCTTCTTAAAATGATTTGGGCATTTTTACTCCACGTAAAAGAGAAGAAAAATAGAGCGATGAAACAACACAACACAATATGATTATGTACTCTGAGGTATTAATGGTCTACTGAGAACTTTGATATAAATGGATAGATAATGATGAGGGTTTTTTTTCTTTCCACGTTCTAAAGATTTCTGTGAACATGGCCGTAGGAACCGGGGGTGGGGTGGGGGCACGGGAAGGGGCCGTGCCCCCAATAATTTTGCCGATAAATAGAGCACTATAGAGCAAATTTTAATCTTAAGAATCGATTGGAATTTTTTAACACACGGTGAATCTATTTTCCAAAAGAATTCAACCATAAAAACACTGCTACACGTGTATAAAATGAAATACTATAGAACAGTTAAATACATGTACAATAAGCACATGCTTAATTTCATTTTGTTCCTAAAATACGTACATGTACCAATGTTTATTTCGATTAATGAACTATAGATTCCTTTGATCAGGCTATTTGAGGGTCTTTGACATCGCGATCCCTAAATTTTGTAACATGTCACGAAAAACATGACTTACATGTGCGTCATCGTCATAATCTTCGTGCAGTTTCAGCAGTTTTTCGTTGACGTAACGCTCCAAAACCAGTGTGTCCTCCATGGCCAATAGCCCGTTGTGCCAGTCATCACGCAAGGTACTCTAAGAAACGGACAGTACATCTCTATATTGCGAGCAATATTTGTTAAATTTTGTTTTTTAATTTACCACTTTATCTAGTGTGAACTTACATCACATTCCAAACTTGAAAGAGTCGTTTTGTCGCCGGTCATAAAGTTACAGATCTGTAATATAGTTCATAATTTGTTCATCTTAATTTGAAATATTTTATTTATTGCAGAATATAGCGGTCTGAAATTGATACTGGCAAAGAAAAATCAACACAATAAATGTAGACCTATGAAAACACTATTGAAATTAATAATTTTTTAAAAATTCTTTTTTTATTTCTTTAAATCATGTCTCAAAACTATAATAATAAAGAAAATATCGTCTTACACATGATTTTGTTTTCGTGAAACTGAAATTGACGTCCTCCAGTCCTTTGGTTACAATATTGCAGACATCTTGCAACTAAAAATTAACGTATTAAACTCGGAAAGTTAAAACAATGTTGTAAGTTATAAATCGGAATAAACATCTGTATCATTGGTCATTTAGTTCATGTTTCCACTGAGTCTAATCCGAGATTTCTTTGACTCTTACCTCACTTTGTGCTGTGCAAATGTTATATCGGAAGTAGGAATCGGAGGAATCTCGGATTACATAAGATCTCGAATGAACCTGAATGATTCGTTTATTCGGCTCTCTTTATTGGTAGATTATACAATGCAAACAAAGTATAACCAAATTTTATTATATAGTATTGATAAGCTTCAAATATCATATACAAATACATATATAATTTTTCCCTCGAATTTGTATGTCATCTCTACTAGTATATCATTTGAGAAAAGGAGCAAACAAAGATATGAAATATACATAAACATTAAATATTTATTTGTATTTATGAATGTAATAATATTCCACCCGGATGCATGTTATCGTATTTTGTAAGGTTACTGACACACGGTTGTTATCTGATAATAAATTCTCATACTGACAAAATCATAAACAACAGCATGATGATGATGTAGTTTTGCTGCATAACTACCTTAATATCCTTCAGCTGTACGTCCCCGCCCCTTTTGTTGATGTATTCCATGAGTTGCTCTGCGTGGGATCTTTCCTCTTTTGAGGCCTCCGAGAAAAATTTGGAGAAGCCAGACAGTGCCACATCAGAGCGAGCAAAGTATTGTGACTGGAAACACCAAATAGAGATTAAGCAATGACTACATACAAAATTGTCCATGCATCCAATGAGAACAGTGTTAGATTAGTACTGGTGATAGGGAAGGGGAGATTAAGAAGAAACCCTGTATCAAAACTATTCATACATGTGTTCGTCTACTGGTCGCCTGCGTGGCGCAGTGGTTAGAGTGTTTGCTCTAGAGTCGAGGTGTAACTAAGGAGTTGATCCTTACGTCGTGGGTTCGAATCCCACTGCGGGACGTGGAGACTGGTCCCTCGAATGAGACCGTATAAACCGAGGTCCCGTGTCATAGTAGGTACTGACACGAAAAAGATCCCTCACTGCTCAATGGCACTGAGTGCCGAGTATAGGTCAAAATTTGCAGCCCTCCACCGGCAAGTGGTGGCGTCTTGATATGTGTGAAAAATTCTCCAGAGGGACGTCAAACAACAAACCAGAAAAAATTTTCTACTGTGAAATGAGATTACGAACAGTGATCATGTTCAAAAGTCAAATTCAGACTGTGAGCAGAGACAACATGGAGATCTGAAAATAGAGGTGGGATCAGGTGCCAGGAGGTGTAAGCAGCCCCTATCAACTGTTCAACATTCGACCTAACGACAGATCCTATTTGCAATCAAAGTTATTGTATCGACCATGAAATTTGAGAAATGTTGACCTTAAACGAGGTTGTTATAATTGTACATCAACTTATTTTTCAGTAGCCTACCTCGTTTTAGATTTTCGTAAATAGAGCATTTTCTTGCATATGAATCATATGGGAGACGTAAACTACATTAGTATGCCATCAATGCCTTTCTAGTAAAATATGAAGTAAATAGTATCAATGTCAGGCAAAATAAAGTTTTGGCTTCCCGGAGATCCAAACATTACCCGAGGCTTCAGATTCGGATTCCCCTCAAAAAATGGATCCGGAGCCCTTCTCACAAAACATCTTAAGCCTCTATCTATCTATCTATCTATCTATCTATCTATCTATCTATCTATCTATACTTATATATACTTCCACCAGTAATAAAAGAGTTTTTATAGGATTTACGTGCAATGGCACACATTGAAATGTGAAGAGAAAAGTAATAAGAATTCATGCAATTACCACTTCTTTTGGTATTCAAATGTTAAGGTAACTGGAAAGGGCTCTTGATTTATAAGTTCTTATAATTAATCACGTAAAATAAATGAATACCTTGAGTATTTCAGCCAGTTTTGAGTTTTGCTTTGCAAAAAATGGTATATTGTATGTTGATATCTTATATAGCACGTCTGCCTAATGCTTTTAAACTTTGACATTCTGATAAAATGACATTTTCGAGACAATAAAGTCTACTTACGTAGGCCTGGTAAAAGTAACTGGCCTGTAACTCGCGTGTGATTTGTTCATTTATGGCCGTAACGGCAGTCGCCTTAAACTTCTGACGAACATTCTTCACATCTGAAATGTTACGAGCAAATCGTATTTCGTTTTAAAAATCAAAATATCCTGTTTTTCTGTTACCATTTGGTAAATTTATGAAATTGCTATATAGAAGAAAAGTTTACTCTTGTCTATCAATGTCCATGTAAATTAATATGAAACACTAAAGAAACTGAAACAAAGCCACTCTTAGTTGAGAAAATACCAATGACATGTTCTTTTAAGTGAAAGTACTTATATATTAAATCAATATTTATTATATTTTTACTTACCAGCAAATACCACAGCAAACAAGGCGAAAACAATGAGATACTTCATGTTTAAAATGCAGTCTGTCCGATACTCGGTCCACGTATGTAAGATTAACGTGAGATCAGAGTGAACAAAAAGCCGAGCAAAGTACAGGCACAGACCTTACAATTCAGGCCAAGGGTACTGATATGTTTGTTTTATAGGAAATTGTCCAAATCATACTGTGTGTGCATCATTAACTCTTTCAAGTTTTACTCTTAAAATATCAAAATATTGAATGTTAAAGTAAAATTTTCGTTCTCATATAATTTTTGCAATTGAGTTTCTACATTAGAATAATTTTTTTTTTAAGTGTTCATTTTAACCTTTTGATTGATAAAGAAAGAAAACCCCTTTCAATTTCAGGAGGTCTAAGTAAATGTTTCACGGTGACACTGATGATAATTTGTCTGGCCTAATCCCCCCCCCCCCCCCTGAAAACTACATGCTTTTGCTTCTTTGAAAAAAATGATAAGGTCAGAAATAAAATACTCTTCTGAAAATAAGATAATTTATATTAAAGGATTAAAAAGTTCATGGTAACTTGGAACATTCTAGAACAATTAAGAATGTCTCTCTCACTTCGTAAATCAAATGACATCCTGTCTGATTATGCAGATTTTACTTTCAGCTTTAACTGCTCCTTCTGCTGTCTGCGTGATAACAATGAATTATTTAGGACATTTATATTGTACTAGGATTGTTATACTTTACTTAGCGATCACATTTATACCCACACCTTAATCTGTTATCAATGATAAAATAATATTTATGGGTGTTATCTGTAGGTTAACTTGTGTAGTGCACATCATAATTTTAAATACAACTATACACATGTTGACATATTCCAATTAAAAAATGTCAAACTTGCGAAGTCATTCTTTTTTCGGTTATTTATCAAAATTTAATTTTCAATGATTTTTCTAATAATGCATTGTTTTACAAATGTCTCTATTTATCTTATTTCCAAAAAAGGTATAAAAGATAAAATCCCAAAAATCGAAGTACAACACCTATTAAAGTTTGCTTGATAAACAAGCTTAATTTTTTGATTTCTTCAAAATCAAATATCCATTTTAAATAACCCTAATATCGTTATTTTTAGTTGGGGTCAAGCGGGTTTGAAAAACCGGAAGTACACTTTGCTCCCGTAAGGTTTACATTAAAGAGAAAACAAGATGCGCGTGTTCGTGACAGCGCTATTTGGGCTTGCGATTGCTTTACTTGGTTACCATGGACAGGACTGGTTGGGTGGAGCAACAGCAAAGAGAGTCTACCCTAAGATACCCCGGCTAGGTAAGTAAAAGTAAAGTGTCAAAACAATTTTCATTGTCTTGTATAAAACTGAAAAGAACACATCTAAAGCTGACTATACACTGTCCTTCTAAAATAGAATGGATTCATTTGAATTTATATACAACAAACGAAATCTGCTAATCATTGTCTTTCATTCTTTCTGTTTAAATTGATGCTTTGCATGAATAAAGGCTTACATTTATTGGTCATATTAACATATATTCTATCTATTGATACAAATTTGTGAATAAGATATTTTTTCTTCGAGGTTTCATAATATGAATATCTATACAAGTAGAAATGTTTTAAAGTTACAGGACATGTGACTCAAGTTGAACAGAACTTTGCCAAAATAAGTAGAAAGGGTCTCAACAAATTAATCACAGAATGTCTAAACCAGCACTACCAATATCTTGCAATGGTGAGATTTTCAGCTTTTTGCTATTATTGAATTCATTCAAAACTTCATCAATTTTATTGGGCAGCTTTGATTCAAAACTTCATCAATTTTACCATTAGTCAGTTTTGATTCAAAACTTCTTCAATTTTACCATTTTTGATTCAAAACTTCATCAGTTTTACCATTGGGCAGTTTTGATTCAAAACTTCATCAATTTTACCATTGGATAGTTTTGATATTACGATGTTCATTACAGGCTAACTATTTTGGGCGTGCAGATGTGGCCCTTCCGGGTTTTCAGAAATACTTCGAGGACAGTTCGCAACGAGAGCACAATCGAACAAAAGTAATGATGGAATACATGAATAAGAGAGGAGGCACCCTTAAACTGCTGAGGATAAGGGTATATTTATTTTCATCACACCAGTTACGATGATTTTCATGCACCTTTTTAATTTATATACGAATAAAAATTATATACTTGTGCTATGAATCCGCCTCCGAAAAAATAATAACAAAACGAAAAAGAAACAAAAAGAAAAAACAACATGCAACCTAACAAAACAAAAAAAACACACACACAAAAAAAACAAAACAAAAAAACAAAACAAACAAACGAACAAAAAGCAAATATAAGTAGGTTACAAACGATGAATTACTTTTTCATTTAAGGGAGCTGTCTGTTTGGTTGTTGTTTTTTTTTTCGTATATGTGTGTGTGTGAAAAATCTCTTTACTTTTATACCATATAAAGCCTACACTGACTTCAGTGTACTTGTAATTAAAGTTTCAAGATTTACTGTCTGGGTATTTTAGGGGGCATTTCAAATTACTGTAAAATACTACATTTACTGTAGGATTGGACTGTATGAGGAAAATGCTTTTATTCAAAGAAAATTATAAAAATACTACAATAGTCCTTTTGCTCAAATTTTAATATGTGACGAGTAATACTAAATTATACATTATATTTAAGAAATACAAAATTCTACCGTCTGGTCTGTAGAAGGGGAGGGGGAACTAAAAATGTCAAAATTTACATAATTTTCTCGTTTTGACAGGAGTAGTACAAAAATGACACTTAAAATGGATTTACACAGAAAATGACAAATAACTGAGATATTCAAATGTTTGTGTTCAACATTTCAAAGGCGTATATACGTAACTCATGTCCCTCTCTTGAAGAACGTCAGTTAATCATATAGCATTACCAACACACATTAAAAATGACATTCATCTACTTTTCAGTTGGAAATCGTAAATAATCATTTTTATTCTTTAAAGTAATTAAATTCATTATTGGTAATAGTAAAATCTTAATTCTGTTAAGGACATACGCAACGTACTTTACCTACTGATAATTTTTCAAGATATTCTTAATCTAAGATCATAGTGCTATCAGATGTTCGTAGACAAAAAATCAGCATGCATTACCAGGGGTTTTGAAAAGATATCAATTTTTGAGAATTGTTGTAAAATTCAAAGAAAAATATACAAAAATTACTAAACATATATTCTAGATGTTTTGTTTATTCAAACTTGTTTTAGAAGAAGTGTACAACAGCATATATAGACATTAAAATGTAGCACACAGTTCCTTTAAGTTTTGGAACTCTTCGACTCCAGGGAAAAAGACAATAAAGTACAAACTACGTTGCATATGTCCTTAAATTTGATAAAGTATGTTAAAATAATTGCTTTAAAAGTGTAAATACTTAAGAGGGCAACCAGCAATCACTGTACGGCATATGTCGTAAGGAATGTTTACGGGTTTTTATAAACAAGCCATAGACCGCTATTTGAGGTACTCTAAGTAAAAACATTTATATGTTTATCACTAAATTTGCTCAGATATCATCATGGTTTACAGAGTGTGTACATGAGAATCCGAAACTTTAATAAAAAAAAATTTCTCAGGTAAAAAATGTTATTTCTGCATAACTTAATATTCATAGATAAATTAGATATCAATAATTTTCTTATAAACAAAAACTTCCTTAATCTCGTCATCTAGCTTATTTTTGTCCACAATGAGGAGATATATCGGGCATAACCATCAGTAATCAATTGCTTCTCGTTCGTACAATATACATTTCTTCCATCGACTGTAAATGGATAGAAACCCCGTGGGTTTCCGACGGCTAGTGATGCACATGTATTAGAAAAAAAACCCTTGTAATTAAGGGTGTATGTTTTTGGCCTTTCTGTTCGAATTTTAAAGATCAAAAAAGCTTGGGACTATGAAGATATGAATTTCACACAATTAATATTACTATACCCAGCATAATAATGCTAGCAGGTTTCTGCTAAATGGCATTGGTAAGGAAGAAGACTGTCTAATTTAAAACACCTTGCAGTGAAAGCCCACCTTCAAGAATGAATCCTATATATACTTACAGGGGGATGCATTTTACAATCTGAAAAAAAGGTTTAATGCTCATGCAGACAGTCTGACTGGCATATCTTCAGGGGGCGGGGGCTTTCAATGATTATTTTTAATACATTTTTTTAAAAACAGGATTATCTTATCCCCACCACGTGGACTGAACCGTGGCCAACAGGTTATGAAACACAAATTTTGCTAAAGGATTCCTTGCTCATGATAATCATGCAATTGTAGTTTCTTATATGTCCATGAGTGAAAAAGATTTTCACTTTTAACATGTTCTTGATTTTCTAGGTAAATATTCGTACATATAGTATAATTTCAGCTTGTTTTGTTTTAATTAGGCGCCAGTGATGATCAACTTCAGCGATGGAAAGGCTGCGCTCAATCTGGCACTTAAACTTTCCCGCCAGCTGAACGTCAAGATCCTTCTGCAGCACAGCATAGCCATCAAATATAAGGATCCAAATGTACGTACTATTGTAAAAAATTAAAAATCATGACAAAAGGCGTTAAAGTCTTAGGGTGCGGGTTTTAAGTCCCGTTAAAAATTGAGTAATTCTTTAAATATTATTATTCTTCCTTCTTCTTTTACTGTCAAATGGATTGATTAAAAGAAGATTAATAATAATACATATATTTTATTAATTGTATTATGATGTATTTTGAATATGTAGTGTAGAGATCGATATAGAAGATTGTACAGGACCTTCACAGTGGACATTTTGACCTTGACCTTTGAATAAAAAAGATCAAAACAGAAGTTGGGCCCTAAATAATAAAGTTTTATGCAAAGGCCCAAAATACCTTAAGGTTAATTATATATTTTTAATTTCAATCCAGATGAAGCTGTTCTTGGATGAAAATCTTGTAGACAGCCAGGTACGAATCATCAAACATCTTGGTGACCTTATAACTCATCTGGATCTGATGAAGAAATCGCACAGTGCTGGGCTGGCTCTCTACATGTTTGATCTGGAGCTCCAGAAATAGTGCTCTGAATACTTCAATTACAACTTCACTGAAATAATAAAATGTGCTCTAGTATGCGCAAACATGTACTATTTCTCCATGGTTTTTTTTTAATTCATGGTTGGCGAGGAGTCATTTGTTATAACTTCAAAGCAATGTAATACTGGAAAAATGATTGTTATTAATATACATAGATTGCAGAACTCAGTGCTGGTTTTTATTCATTCTGAGAAAAAAAATCTTCGATTTTTTAATCTAATATTTAAAGGTACTCGATAACTCCAAGAGACATGCAATAGCCAAAGTAATTAATGTATAATAAATATCATTTTGTATATATTACTAGGTGTGTACTTCTGGTTATTACTTTAATAAAGCATTTTCACAGATTCAAGTTAAATTTTTAAATCTCTTATTTTTGTATCAAGGTCAGGTGAAGGTCAACATCCTTTTCCTTGACATTAAGAATCATAAGAAAAATTTCTATTGCCAATCCTATGGCACTTTCTATTTTAAAATATTGTAGGTTTTTCATTATGTGTAAACTACACCAACTTATTTCAGTTATTACTACCAAATTGAAATATACATTGGTTGACATGGATTTCTTTTAACTTTCTTAAACTTTTAAGGAATATTAGTTATTTTTATACTTGATACATTTAAACCTTTCTTATTTTCACATATTGATGAAGAGATCATATAGATATGTGAAGAGATCATATAGATATGTGAAGAGATCATATAGATATGTGAAGAGATCATATAGAGACACAAATGAAAAAGGTGAAGATAACGAAAAGTGACCGAACTCAAAAAATCCACAAACAATACAAAATCTATGACCAGGGCATAAAACACAGATCCCCGGAAATTCCAGAGGTGGGATCAGTTGCCTTGGAGGAGTAAGCTTCCCCTATTGACCGATCACACCCGCCGTGTGCTCTTTACTGATAAAATGACACAAAACAAAAATATATATTGACTGATAATTATGTCACCCGAGTCACTCAGGTGACCTAGTGCTTTCTGTTGTCGTCCGTCGTGCGTCATGTGTTAACATTTGAACATTTTCTGCTTCTTGTCTGAAACCGCTGAACCAATTTTAGAGTATGGCATCTATGGGTAAAGAGGAACAAAAATTTTGAATTCCATGGTCCTCCCCCCCCCCCTCGGGCCTGAGGGGTGGGACTTAAACCATCAAAATTAGTGCTATCTTTAAAAATCTTCTTTACTCCTGGATATCAAGCAGTCAAACTGTTGGCATGATTGTAATAAGCATTGAGCCCTCTACCAAAATTGTGAAATTCATGGCCCCAGGGTCATGGGTTCTGGAGTTAGAGTGGGGCTCTGTTAATCATATAGTGAAAATGCATTCTTATCTCCCCCTGTATATATAGCAGATTAACTAGATGCATGGTTATGGTTATTTCCAAAATTGTGAAATTTGTGGCCCAAGGGTGAGAGGTTCTGCGGGAGGGGGACTCCATTGATTATATGGTGAAAGTGCATTATTTCTTTAAAAAATTTTCTTCTTTGCTCCAAGGTATTAAGCAGATAAACCAAATATATAGTTATGATGAACAAGGGTGGGTGCCTCATCAAAAATTGTGAATATATTAGCATTATTTCTTTTAAAAGCTTCTTCTCTGCCCATTGTTATTAGGGAAAAATACTAAGTGCATGGTTATGATGAGCAAGGGTGCCTCTTCCTAAATTGCGAATATCTTCGCCCCTGGATCAGGGGCTTTTGTATAAGGGTGGGGCTATATTGAATCTATAGTGAAAATGGATTATTTCCTTGAAAATCTTCTTCTCTGCTCCTGGACATCTAGGAGGCAAATACAGTATATAAAGTTGTCATAAGCAATTTAAGGGAGTTTTTACCAGATTTTGAAATTCTGTACCTTTTAGTTTATTTATTGATAGCGATTCTCTGTAACCACTTAAACTTCTTTGCCATGCATGGTCACCGATTTTGATGAAACTTTACCCATTGTTACAACTTGATACCAGAAGCATATATCAAATAAAATTTCGTTGCTATGTGTCTTGGTTACCATTGTAACAGCCAGAAAAGTTTGAAAAATTGATATTTTCAGCTACTTTGAATCTTTATTAAGCCTTAACAAAGACCGAGAAAAACAAACAAACCATTCTCACAAAACATGACACCTTGTTGCCATTATGCTATATAAAGAAACTTTTTAGGATTTATCTCTAAGTAAGTGGTTACCATGAGTACATTTGGAATACATTTTAGATGCTGAAAGATGCTGAAAAACACTCAATATTCTATTGATAGGTGTTACATGATCAAACTCAATCAACAACTTAAGAAAAACAATAAAAATATTTGACCTTAAGTAATAAGGTATTGGCAATATTATTCTAAAAATAACTTTTTATGGTTGCAATGGTAACACAGTGTAACCATGGAAAGTCTGTTGCTAAGATTGGGTTACTGCTACTATCTTGAGGAAAAACAATAAAATTCATGACTGGCACATATACACCCTTAGAACCTTGCAACACCGACAACATAAGAAAAAATGGGATTAATTGTTACTTTGCAATTTTTGAATAATAGAAATTTCAACGTCCGCTTAGGGTCTAAGTTTCAAACAATTTTGAACAGGAAATGGGTGTGCCTCAAGGGAGTATTCTATCAGTCACATTATTTAGAATTAAAATAAATAGTTTAGCTGAAGTACTTAAAAATGATATGCATGGAAGTTTATATGTTGATGACTTTGTTCTTTGTTACAAATCTAAAAACATGACCGCAATTGAGCGTCAACTGCAATTATGTGTGAATAAAATTCAAAAGATGTCTGATGAAAATGGGTTTAAATTTTCGAAAACTAAAACTGCATGTGTCCATTTTGTTCCAAAAGGAAAGCACACGACGATCCATGTCTGCATTTAGATGGAAATCCAATAAAAGTGGTTAAAGAGATAAAATTTTTAGGTGTCATCTTTGATTATAAACTTTCATTTGTTTCACACATTAAAATGCTTAAAGAGAAATGCTTAAAGGCTCTAGATGTAATTAAAGTTATCGCAAACACAAAATGGGGGGGGGGGGGGCTGATAAAAATACTCTTTTAAAACTCTATCGCTCCCTAGTTAGATCTAAGTTAGATTAGTACGGCTGCATTGTATATGGATCAGCAAGGACTTCTTGTTTAAAAGCTCTTGATGCGGTCCATCATCAAGGTCTGCGACTGTGCTTAGGAGTTTTCCGAACCTCTCCTGTAGACAGTTTGTATGAAGCGAACGAACCACCTCTCGATTTAAGAAGAATTAAACTAACGTTACAGTACATTCTAAAATTAAAAGCAAATACAGATAACCCTGCTTTTGATTGTGTTTTTAATCCGCAGAATGAAAATTTGTATGACAAGAATAAAATGAAAAAAATAAAGTATAAAACCTTTTGGTTTGAGATCTTAAAAACATATCAGAGATTCCGAATTACCTTCGGATATTATAAAACCCATAAGTTATTCTAATAAACCGCCATGAAAATGAATTAAACCAGTTGTAGATACCTCTTTAACTAAATTCAAGAAATCAGAAACTGATTCCCTCGTTTTCAAGCAAAGATTAGCTGAAATAAAACAATCTAAGCCTTCTACAATCGAAATTTATACCCATGGTTCAAAAGATAAAAATAAAGTAGCAGCAGCTGCCGTTGTTCAAAATAATATTTTCTCTACAGCTTCCACATGAATCTACAATTTTTTCCGCAGAAGCAAAAGCCATACAACTTGCATTTGACTATTTAAAAACATCTAGTGAAAACCTTTTTACAATATTTTCGGACTCGCTCTCTTGCTTACAATCTTTACAAAATATGAACATTGATCACCCATATATTTTGGATATACTAATCCAGCATTAACATTTAACTATACAAGGAAAAAAGATAAACTTTTGCTGGGTTCCAAGTCATATCGGCATACCTGGCAACACTAAAGCTAACAGTGTTGCAAAAATGGCACTTCAGTATGAAATTGCACAGTTAAAAATTCCTTATACTGATCTAAAGTACTTAGTAAAACTTTATATAACTTCAGTCTGGCAAATTTATTGGGAATTTTGTGATACAGATAAATTATATGCTATAGAGAACAAAGTTGCCTGAAGCGTCAAGATGAAGTGGTAATTTCAGGAATACGTATTGGTCACTCAATAATAACCCATTCATACTTACTCAATGGGGAACTATTCGAAGTAGACTTTTTAATAATGTGAGAACGATGTATATCTCTTTACAAATATAAATGTTAATACAATTTTGGAATATTTACATGAAACTGATTTTTACAGTAAAATTTAGAAGTGAATTATTTTATCAATTTTGATGAGAAATACATAGAGCAATTTATTTTTTAACAGTTTACATATTTTTAAGGTATGTCACTCGTGAAATTTGTTATATCAAGGATTTTTTGAGAAGTATATTTTGGATAGGTACTCATATAGTATGACTCAAAATCGCAGAGAAAATGGGGGGTCAGTGTGCATCTAACTGAGCTACGGTATAATTAAGTTGACCTTTTTGCACTTAAATTGTAACTCTTTGGTTAATCACTTTAACCGTTATCATATTTTATAAGATGTAACCATGGCAATAAATCTTATTTTACGTAAAATAGTTTGAATAATATTTATCATTGAACAAATCATGCAAATTAATGCGCGTAAATTATTGTGTGACCTTTTTGCACTAAAAAAGTCTCATATTTGGGGTATTAAGAATCTAAATAGGCAATAGAATATGTTCTTGTATCAAACTTTTTACGACTAAGTGCTGATCGGTCAAAAGTATCGAGTAGTTTAAAATAATGAGTAAAAGTATGTGAGGCTAAAGTTCCAAGATATTAAATTTAATATATGTGTAGATTTGCAGAATTTTCTGCTAAATATCCTTCCGCCACAAGAAATAGTCCCTTATAAATCTTGTTCTTTGTGAATTTTTGAGCAGTTTTTTAATTGAATGTTGAACATTTTACATTGTTTAATTTAAATA